CCTTCCCCACACTTGTGTGGCGCTTAGTGTGTGACTGGCTCTCTAAGCTGGTAAAGCTCATCTGGATGTTGGGACCAGGCTAGTCACAGCAGCACAGACCCCAGAGCACGGTGAAGGGCTCAGCTCCCTCCTCAGCTAAAGGCACTGCTTGGACAGGAGGCAGGCACAGCCCACAGCCCCTCAGCACGTATCAGCCTCCTTGATGTTGGATGCTGCTTGCTAGGGGCACGGTAGGATGCATGGTACCGGTGTCCTCTGGAGTCTCCCACACAATAGACTCTGCAGCACTAACACACACTGCAATTTGCTGACAGAGGCAGGCTGCAAGGTACATGTGTGACCTGCAGGTAAGAACAGAGATGTTTAAGCAGAAAAGAGCCTTGCAGCCAAGTGCCTGTAAACACCCCATGCAGCAGGTGGACATGTCCTCCAGAGAGACCCGCTTTGGTATGTGGGTGGGGAAAGGAGCTGCTGCTTGTTGGGCTGTTTATTTTAGCCTCATGCACATTGTGCTGGGAACTTACACTGTATCATCTGACATGACTGGACACAGGCAGAGCCAGCTTCACGCCACTCGGAGACAGAGGCAGTTTGGACAGCCAGCAGTGCTGGCATCCTTCAGCAAAGCCTCTGCCTTCAGCTCAGTGAACAAGTATCTGCTTTTGCTGCACCATGGGGAGAGACTTGGACAGATGCAGCATCACTGCTTATAGAAGATGCAATGCCCATTTAGTCCCTCTTCATCGTTCAGGCAGAAGAAGGAAGAGAGGCAGCGTGAAAACAAATGTGTTCTCACCATGTAAGTTTGTACCTTGAGATACATGTTCCAATTTTAGACCTAGACATGTTCCTCTGCCAGCCTCCCGACAATTCAAGCAGCTATAAAAAAATCACAGCTGTAAAACCACAGCGCTCTGCAGGGACAGACCAAAGTGACAGGGATGCAGGGGAAAGTGCTTGACTCATGCCCTCAATTCTTGTTAAAGCCTCTCCCAAAAGGCTCAGAGGCCTGTAGGTGCCTGGGCTATGCCAATAGAGACCAGACACCCTCCTCGTCATCTTCATCTCTACAGTGCTGGAAACTACCATTCCTCAAACATCCCCAGTCAAAAGGACCAAAAAAATGCTCGTTGATTTGGAGGGAGAACCTGAGATGTTAAGAAAAAAAATCAGATGATTTATTCAAGTGCTTGGGCAAGTCCCAGCAGAGGCTCTGTGGAGCTCCTGTGTCCAAAGACAGTGCATGATCTACCTGCAAGGCTCTTCTCCCTTCCTTTGTACCTGCCCTTGACTATGATTGCAAATATCTGGTGCACCATTCAGCCCCCCAGTGCCTCTGGGAGCCCCTCTTGGCCGTGCTGCAAAGGCTGGCTTTGCTCTGGCTCCCATTGCTCCTGCTCCCCTCCCTCCTCTCGCTGCTGCTGTGCTGCCACATCCACACAGGCACCCAAACTGCAACTCAGCAGAAACAGCTCTAATCCACACTGTTCCCCAGCAAGGGCAGCTCCCCAAGCTCGTTCACGCTGCACTTCCCAGGCGGTGCCAGTACAACAGAAATGAGCAGTTGGGGTGGCTACTGCTGACAGGAAAACTCACATTTTAATAACTCTGGCTTTAAAGCCCTGGCTGACACTGTCCTCAAAGCTCTCCCCAAACTGTTACCATTGAAAATGAGTGTTCTCTAAGTTGACTTTCCAGGCCGACCTCAAATTCATAATTTCTCCCAAAATATGTTCTGTGAAACCAGTCCCTACCTAGTCAGAGGCAAGGAGCGAAGCGCTGCATCGGACGCGGGCAGGGAGTGGTGGGTGCTGTTTGCTCAGCCAGAGGCAGGTAGCTGCCAAGCACCCAACCAGGCACCCTGGCTGCTCTCACAGGCACAGGGAGAGACTGCCACTTCCAGACCACAAGTCATCCAGCCCAAAACTGGGTTGGTGAACTAGACCTTAAAAATTCCTGTTTTTCCTCCCCAAGCACAGAGAGGTTGTAGACACCCACCTCAGACAGTGACATGTGTTACAACTATTAACAATCAGGTGAGGTGAAACATAACCCTCACCCCAGTCTAAATGTTACTACAAGCAGTGCTGCCTTTTGAAACTATCCACACACGGGGGACAATTTTTTTAAAAGGCTGAATTGTGAATAAAGGAGACACTAGAAAGGCAAAACTAAAATTAAATTTGAGATGAGATGCTCAAGCTTCAAAAAGTCAGCTAAAAATCAAATTGCATTTTAGGCCAATGGTATCATTTCTGGCAACAATGATAGCTATGCAGCTGGTGTGTTGGGACAAGTTCAGCTCTAGCATCTCCCCTGGTACCTCTTCCACCTGGCTTCAGCTGCGGTCTCTTGCCTTACAGCAGGCTATAACCTCTCTGGGACAGGGACTGTCCTACCCTTCCCTTCCTAACACCAGGAGCCTTGTCACCCTTGTCAGGTTGTGACAAGGGTGCAAACAGACAGTGCAGATGAAGAAACCCACCAAAGGATAACCCTGCCTGACTGACAGTGGTGTCATTAGGACCTGTCTCCTGAAATTGCCTCACTTCCCATCCTTGTTACCCACTGATTAAAGGGTCTCAGGGCACTGACACTGAGATCAGAAGCCACTGGCAACTTTCTCTCAGTAGGATGTCAAAATCATGGAAATACACAGACAGATATGTGGCCTTCCTTATGTTAAAGTAAGCAAACCCCAATAAAAAAGGATTTTCTAATAAAACAAGCAGGTCAGGACACCAATACACTTTCAGCAGGCAATAAGTTTTTTCACCTTCTCAAATGTTTTCAGGAAATAAGTTTTTTCACCTTCTCAAATGAGTGTCAACCTTGGGCAGTTAAGATCTGCAGTCTCTTTCAAGCTCAGACAAATTACAAGTATCAGCACAAACCTCGTTATGACAGTATTTTGCTCAATCCTGGCTCTGAGTTCTTCATTCTGCTGTTGTAGCATGGTGATTTTTTCTTCCAGTTTTAAATTTTTTTCAGCCTGCAACGAAAGAAGTTCGTTAAGTCTGAAGAAAGCCCAGCTCCTGCTCTGAGAGGATTTGTTCTTTATTTGTCCCTAGAGTAACTTGTAAAATTTGACAATTGATGGAGGTGGTCATCTCGACTGCAGTTGAGACTTAGAGGTCTGACTCACACCTCATCATACTGGTGAAGTAAGTGGGGTCATCAGCAGAGCACTGAGTGGAGGCAGAGCTGAACTAGCCCTTACTTCTAACTGAGGAGGGTGTTAGTCTCGTCCAGCACAAATAAAACATCTTCCTCAGTGGTGCCCCCACAACATTCATCCCTCAGGAGCCAGCATTATCAGCTGTTGTTCTTGGACAGGGAGCTGGTGGCACTTGGGGAGCATGGGGATGCCCAGCATGGAAAGGGCACTGTGGTGTGAGTGATCAGTTCAGTGGTGAAGGAGGACTGCAAAGTGGTATGATGTGCACCATCCAGCTCAACTAACCTCACTGGACATAAATGTCTGGTGTCCAACCTCTAGGATTATGATTCCCCAGTTATGGGGAGGAAAGAGTTACCCACTAGGGCAGATTAAGCCCAGCAGCAGTCTTAGACTGCTGCTGCATTTGCATGAGGTGGGCTGCCCTTTGGAGACACTTCTCTCCACTGCTGACAGTGTCGGCTTAAATGACAGGCTTAAACTAGACATCTAACTGTAAGCTACCATTAAGTGAAATGAATCCTATCCCAAGCATAGGTGGGTTTTACTCAGGACAGTTCAAGGACAGTTTGAGGATGTCAATAGCAGTGTATTAAAACATTGGTAAGAAGTTTATAGGCATGTACCACAGCCTCAGATGCCCTGTATTTCCCAAGTTTTGAATTTGACATAGTTTATCACCTTAGTTCATAGTTTTCCAGCAATTTGAATTTTGCTGAATTCAACAGTTTTGGAAGAAAACAAGATATCACAGGGTAACCTTATCTCTGTGCGAGCTCAGTTATTGAATTTCCCAACCTTTTATAAAGAACCAAAATATTGTGCACTGGAGTTAGCAATAACCCACACTTTATGGTGGAGGCATCAGTCCTATTCAGTGGTTTCCAGTCTATGCAGGTAATCAAAAAGAATACTGCTGATTCTCAGATATTCTTGCTTATCCCTGTATATTTTGTTAGAGTAGAACAAGGATTCTGGACCCATTTTGAAATGCTCTGAGAGAGGAATCACCTTTACAGGCACCTTCCTTAATAGTTTCAATGAGTAGTAACTATCCCAGCACGAAGCATGGGAGAAGACATGTGCATCTCCTTCTCTCCACTGCAACCCTCACCCTGTACCATTCCTCTCCTATCACCTTCATTTCCAGACTCCCTTTCAGCAGCCAAGCCTGACCCTGTATGTGAAATGCCCTCCTGCTCCCCTATGAGGCACCCCATCTTTCAGAGCATTTGGAGGTATTCTGGCACTTATAAAGGTAGGTCTTTAAACAGAAAGCACTTGTGCCTTTGGACCACAGTAGACCCAGTCTTTTATTGTGATGAAAGGCAGGAGTAGGACTGTGTGCTCGTATGTGGTTAATTAGCAAAAGCAGCAAATGACCAGGAACCATGTAGACTGTCGTTTATTTATTTTTTTTAGTAAAACACTACAGTGCATGTTTTCAGATGCTGGCTTAGCTCCAGGAGCAGCATGTTGGAAGGAGCTCAGTTAACAAGCCTCAGCTGTAAAGAGGCACTTTTCTCGACATCACTTACTCAAGCATCTGTTCAGCAAAATAATCATCTGAGTTCTCAAATTTCCCTGTAAATGGAAACAAATCTTGCTGAATGCTGTGCTGAACCAGCTGTCCTGGCTCCCCAGCTGAGGTAGTGCCTCATCCTGTCACCACACTATACGCTTACTGTCACTGTAGGTTATGCCTTACAAAACAAATCCCCTTTCCAATAAAAAATGTAATTGATGGTGCACTGGGAAGTTCTTCATTAGGGACTCCCACAAGCAAAAGATGAGAGAACAGCACGGGCTGCAGAAAAGCATTACTTTGGAGAGACCTTTCCTAGCATAAGCCTTGCTAGGGACTGCCTGCTGAATATTGCTGATTCACACTTGCAGCTGGGAGCTCCCTAAATGCCTGCACGAGCAGCAGCAAGACACACATGGCTTGATCTTCCTCCACTTGCCCTCTCCAGCCCTAAATGATTATCTGACTCCTGTAGAGGTGTATGGTGCAGGCTGGTGTACAAAATGAAGCCCTGGAGTACCACAAAGTTCCCCTTCCTCCATTCTTCCTACACCACTCACTTCCCAGTCTAATGTAACAGGCTGCGCAGGTATTGCATGGAAAAGCAATACAGATCAACGGACATGTGGGGAAAACTGAGGGTATCATGGGTGGGTGAAGGGATGGGAAAAGATCCCAATTTCTGAGTGAAAACCTGAGATATGGTATAGTAGAAACAGCTATGTAGGTTGACAGTGGAACAACACACTATATAGCCATTTAGGAACCTCTCGCTGTGCCTGGCCCCAACCTCATGTGTTTTCTCAGCCCTTTTATGTTCATCTGCTGTAGTCAAACTTTAATTTTTCTACATCTGATGTCTCCTTTGGAGGAATAATAAAAACTCACCTGTTTTTCTAGCTCCATAATCATCTTCTCCTGTTGGTGAATCTGATGGTTCTTCATTTCTAGAACATGTTTTAAGCTCTTCAGATCTTTTTCTAAGTGCAGATATGGAGCTCGTACAATCTGGGAAATATACCTGTGATTAGGCTATCTGTCAGCCATAAATGCATCTTCAGCCATAAGATAAAGTTTCCTCAATGTACCTCGTGGTTTAGGAGTGTCAGTGATGTGAAAACCACCTGGACCTGGGCCTCCCCAGCCCATCTGAGCCCTGTTATTCTCTGCTAGACCATCCCTTTGGCTGGATAGCCATCAGTACCTTTCTTTTGACCAGCCTCATGGCTAGAAGGATGGGATGCCAGGTTGTTCAGCAAACTCATTCCTACTCATAGCTTGGGAACTGCATGAGGTGTTTTATGATTGTGCAGGGATTTTGGCTTGGGAAAAGTACAAACATGAAACTGAGGAAACTGGACAAGGGGGCTGGAGGTGAAAACTACGGTGTTCTGCCTTGCCTGCACCACTGCATCACAGTGCCTGTTAACGAAGATCCGATCTGGTGGGAAGAAGTTCCTCCTCTGCTTGAGAACTTCAGATGTAGGGGATACTAGGGTTCAACTCATGGGCAAAAGATGTGCTCTGAATTATACTGATAAAATACTGTTGCTGACTTAAGCTGTTCTGGATTTTTCCCAATGTAACTCGTGCCAGGAAACTGCTTGGTGGTACTTGGCATTCAGGTCACTGTGACACAGCCAAATTTGTCCTTTCATGTAAATGAAACACTGCTGTGGAGGTGGAAAGGGACTGATGCTACCTGTTTCCCATAGACAAGCCTGTTTCAAACATTTTCACTCCTTCCCTAAGGAGTTCTCTCATTTAAAAACAAACTGAGCCCCTTGCTCACCCCACTATTTTCATTCTGTCCTCTCATGCAGATACAGTTACCCATGGGGTTGTGCTGTGAACATAGTGAAATGCCTGAAGTTGAAAGAAAACTCTTTCTGGAGGGTCATTTCAGGGTTACTTAATTTCAGATAAATAATTGCAGTGTGTGTTCACTTACACACTGTAAATAAACAGTATGGCCCCAACAGACAGCAGTTGAATAAATACTTCATATGACAGGGCTGTCCCCTGCGAGTACAGAAAAAAATGAGGGAATACAGAGGATGTCTAAGAAGTTGGACCAAGAACCTAAACAAAACAGAAACCTAAATGTGAAAAGACAAAAAGTAAAGAGAAAGACAGGAAGAAGGGAAAGAAGAACAGACAGCAGTAAGGACATACTAGATGAAGTTAATGAAAAGTTTTGGAAAGAGAGCTACAAATGCTGGGTGAAAGAATAAAGAAAAAGAAGTCACTCAGAAAATTATGGACCTAGGCTAAGATTTCTGACTCCTCCTCAGAGCTCAAGATCTGGGGTCTTGGTTGGGACCTGCCCCCAGTCCCTGGCATAAGGATCCCATTGCTATCCACTGAATGGCGTGATGTGTCATACTTAGAAACACGTATCTTGAGGACTGTATAGTTATAGTTGCCACCTACCTTCAGTTGTTCCTCAGTGTTTTTCTTCAGAGCCTCTTCAAATCGGTCTGCTTTGGCCTTAAGAGACTGATTCTGGAAGGTGAGAGTGTCTATCTGGTCCTGGAGGGGAGACACACCAGTGAACACACCAACCATGCTATCACCCCTCTTACATTCGTACAAGTCAATCTGCACTGTGAAACCACTAGAGGAGCTGAACAAGGTTTAGAAATCCCTGCAAAGCAGTATTTTTTTATGCAAGGTCACTTGAACATACAGTGAGGTTTCTGATAACCCAGTGCCTCAGGGAATCCCAAAACCCCTGGAACACCTGAGGCTGGCTGACACTGGCTGGCATTAGTTCATTAAATGTCTCTGATGCTAAATCATCCCATCACCTTGGGCTGGATAAGAATGAGCATATCATTCCTTAAAAGAGCTGACATTTATATCACAGGCATGAAAGAGATCATTTGTGCAGTCCCTAGCAACCAAATGAGGTGGTAGACACTCCATCCCTGCTTCCTTCACCTTTCTTGGCTTCTGACATGGTAACAAGCAAGGATGAGTTAGTGGTGTGGACTTTAAATGACAGTCATTTAATCTCAGAGCTATACACAGGAACAACACGTTATTTTAAGCAATCATGTTTCTGTTACCATCAAAGGCATTCC